GGCACCAATTGTAACAGTTCGGTAACCCACTGGGCTACGGCCGCAAAAACGCGCGCAACGATATTTTTTTCGACGGCCGAATTACTATTTAACTAGTAATTCCGGACTCAGAGTTCGTGATGTGACTAGGCCAGGGACTGAATAACCTAGTATCATCACATTACCCCCAACTCAACCCCCTCAGGATTCAAGGAGAGGCCGTAATCACCCGAGTTGCCCTGAGGGATTCGAGCCCACGACCCTTGGGTCGAAGGAAAGCGTCATGAGATCGTCATGACGTCAGCCTCTGATACCATTGTAACAGTTCGGTAACCCACTGGGCTACGGCCGCAAAAACGCGCGCAACGATACTTTTTTCGACGGCCGAATTACAATTTAACTAGTAATTCCGGACTGAGAGTTCGTGATGTGACTAGGCCAGGGACTGAATAACCTAGTATCATCACAAGAAGCGGCTGTTATTTGAAGGTACAAAACCTTGCTCGTAATCGACAGTTAGCAAAGTTGGCGAAGCAGAACGAGTGCATCAGATCGAAGAAGTACCCACCAGCTTTCCCTGCTGCTGAAGTCAGGGGCATCGGCACCCAACAAATGGAACGTCTGAAAAAGCTGCATGGCGACCGCCCCAACCGCACACTGTTCGACCTGCATGTGGCGGATGCCACCGAAGTACTCCAGACGCCCGTTCTGCATTGAAAAAATTGGGCAGAAGTGTTTCTTTTCACGATGGAGATGTCTATGCAGGGCCGCTCTCGCAGCTGTTGGCACGCACTCTGTTACTCTGCTCACCCCAAAAAATATTGACGAACTAGCGATTCAGGATCTTGATTGCAAGCAGGACAATTTTCCGGCCTCGGGCACTTCAAGGCTCGCATAAGCCCTCACCTTGTTGGTCTTCCCCGAGTAGCTGACGCCCACGTACAAAGGGACGTCCGGCCCGACGTGCTGGTACGTTTTCGAGTACAGATCCGGCAAGTCGATACTCTGCGCATCATCTCCGCGGAGGCAAAACTGGTGAGAGGTCAGAAACATTCCTCTGCAAGAAATTTGCAAAGCATAAGTCTGATGGGGCTGTCAAGGAAATCTTTCTAGGCAACAGCCCCCATGACGCCAATCACGATTGCCTTCTCCTACTTATTCTGCTTGGGCAAATGGCGAACTAGGGCAGAGCTGCCCTTTCCAACGGACCGACATATAATCGCGCCGCACCGCGCCGCGCCGCGCTTTTTGGCAGTGGAATCACTTCGGTGCATCTTATTCTCAAAGTGCCCAGATTCCCGAACAAGAAGTTGCTGGCGAAAAACACGCAGAAGCTGCTAAGGCCCGCTTGCTACTCATCTCATGGTGGTGTGCTGATGAACGTCACCGTCTTCCCCGTCGTCGTCCCCGTGGGCACCAGGCATCATCCTGCGCCCCTTCGTCAGCCAAGCCTGCGCTAAGCGGAGCTTCTCTTCCTCGGTGTATCCGTCCGATTCAGTACCTTCTTGTCGGTCTGCACATGACCTGCACATTGAAGGCCAAGTTTGATCAACGGATCCATTTGAAGCGCTAGCTATATCGAAGCGTCCTGCGGAGACCTGGACGTTTCCCGGCCCGTCGCGGTTGATGGAAGCTTCAACAAGCAAAGAGGTCAGGCTCAAGTTAGTGGTATCGAAGAGTTTTTACCGATTCAGTTGCGTGGAGGGCAACTGAATATACGTTGCACTTGCAAACCTCCAGCTTTCTCAAACGGTGCGGCGAAAAGCAGGTGTGTTCCTCAAGCGAGCTCGTTTCCTTGAGCTCATCTTTCCAATGAAGGTGTGCAGTCGGTACACTCACCGGATCTTCTTGTTGGCAGTGTTGCCGGCGGCACACTTCAGGAGCTCTTGCATCGAATGGATGGCTCTCACGTCCATGCTCGAGGTATGTATACCCTCGAGGAAGTCCTGGACGATGGCGTAGAATTGCAGCGCCTTGCAAAAGTTCTGGACGATGCCAATGGACTGCCGAAAAGCAGTGAGGGATCAGTTGCACGTTTAATACCACTGCCACTTCCGGTGATGTAAGAGACTGCTAAGAGCATACGTTTTCTCGAACACAACCTCCTGAAAAGTTTCTTTTTACAGCAGGGAGCTGCAACATACGCGGCCTTTCCTGTAGAACCTGTCGAATTAGTTTGCTAAGAAGGTTTGAGCCCCGCGGAGTCATGCGCACCCGTTGTTGGCAGAACGGAATTAGACAACCGTAAAACTCCCGAGCTATGCCACAGATGTGAAAAAAACTTCAAGCAGTACGCTTGCTGACGCTCGGCACTCACCATTTCATCCTGATCGTTCAGCTTTTCCACCAGATCAACAGCCAAGGAGATCCTGTCCACCGTGATCCGAGGGCCTGATGCCCACAGCGGCAGCGTATTGCCGCCCAATTTTTTGAAGACCGCCGCAGATCTCGCAGGAGCCCAATCCCCATCGTCTCGCCCGTATCCGTGTTGGATACAGAAGTGCTGCGCCAGCAAATTAAAGGCCTGAAATTTGCAAGCGTTTGCCTCAATGAACGCCTAAAGTATGCCTCCAAAGACTTGCCTTTGGAGGTCAAATCTCTAGCAAAGGGCGACGTTCTCGGACTACAGAAACAGAGAAGCTCGTTGGCTGGATCAAGCTTTGGGGGGATGAATGCACTTTGATTCTCAACTTACGAGAAGCTTCATATAAAACGCTCGAGTCTTTAGAAACGTCACCTATTATGGCTACACTAGGCGCTGGTCCTGACTCTTTGCACAAGTACGCCTACGTAAGCAGGCTTGTCGCCTTGCGCGGCGACAAAAGAGGAGGAAAAGAAAGCTCGGGTCATCATTCCTAAGTTCAAATGTGCAGAAATTAATGAACAAAATACCTTATAAGTCTTGAGGCCTCGAATGTAGTCCTTTTTGCTCTTCGGCTTGAGATTGGCGTCCTTCTTGATTGCAGCATTCCAACGGGCGTCAGCAACGTGCCTTTCCCGAGCTCGGTCCTCCGTCTCCTCTTCGACGCACTCCGGATTCTGCTCTCTTCCGGGAACCCCTTGTGTTTCCGCATTGTCTCCATCCTGCGCGTCAGCACGCCCCTCGGACATGCCATGCCCTTCCGAGGGCCTCGCGAGCGCTGCGTCAAGGACACTCGTCCCACTTTTCCGGCCAGCCCCTTGCTTCCGGCTGCCCGCTTGTCTCCGGAGACCCGATCCTCTGCCCCTACCACGCCCCCCTCGGTTTCGATTGGAGCGCTGCGCATCTCCCGTTTGGGTAGCTGAGTGAGGCGCTGGGGGTGCCATAACCTCGCCGAGAGGCGTGGCGGCAGCTGTAGCAGCAGCCGGTGGAGTTGGCCACTCGGCCGGAGTTCGGTGGTGGCCAATCGGATCGGCAGTCGAGGGCTTGTTGTCCACACTGCCTGCATGTTCCAAGAAGATCAGTGGTCGGCTTAGTGTCGTTCGAAAACCTTCTTCCTGTCTTTAGAAGCGAGAGTCGTGTCAACGGTGGTTGAAACAGACTCGGATCTCAGCAGATTGACAAAAGGGTATCGGTTGAACCGAGGACATGACGCCTTCGAGAAACTCAAAACACGAGACGCAGAAAATACGAGACGCAGAAAACAGTGTTGAAAGGGGAGGGAGAGATTGCCACAAGAGACTGAAACGGCAGACGGAGAAGAAGGGAGAAGAAGGAAGGAGGGGGAGATTTCAAACAAAGGGCTGAAAGAAGAGAAGATCAGAAAAGAAACGCGAATCTGTGCGGCCGCAGAGCTGCTGAGAGTGCAGATTGGAGGCGACCAGTTCCTTCAAAAGCAAAGATGCTGACTGCCGCAAAAGAGAGCTTTAGAAAGGTGGCAGCTCTAGAGCGGAACAGAAATCGGAATCACCAACAAAGAATGCAGATCGAGCTGCAAAAGAATCAGGTCGTAGAACGCAGCTTGAGGGGATGCCAAAGACGTGAGACGTGGCAGGCCTTAGACGAAGCGAGCCGTCGATCAAAGCTCGATCGACTGCGGATTCGTAAACAGTAGGACCAGATTACCTGTTTGTTCTTGGCCTACGCTTTGCGGAGACTCGGAGAAGCTATTCCTGCCACGCTGCCCACCTCGCGGGAACCTGCTTCTTGCGCCCCCGGCCTGCCAAGTGGGAAGCTTCGAAGTGGGCAATGCTCCTGATTGTCCGGAGCGAACAGGATCGCCGACATTAGCACGGAGAATCAGAGGCTCGTCCTCGGACTCGCAGTCATCTTCGACAAAACCTGTAAAAGAGTCAGTGGGGTACGATAAGTCAGTGAGGTCGAAGGGGGCAATCCTTCAAGGCGGCCTTCCAACAAGGTTATGGTGATCTGAGATAGCGCTCCATTAGGCTGACAAACAGCCAGGTTAAGCAAGGCAAAGCGGTCTTGTAGAGAATATATTAAGTCAACAAGTTAAAGATCTCCGAATCCAACTCGAAATGTGAGAGATACATTTCAGTGGATCAAGGATTCACCGTTGACCGCTGACTGATGACCTTCACTTCACCGGGACACTGCATAACCAGATGCATTACTCTTCTCTTGATGGAAAATATCGTCAGTTTGTCCGTGAATACCGTCAAACTTTCGTCTTGGAAACTTCTCACCCCTTTCTTAGAAGAATTGATTTCTGTAGAGCTCACCGTCAACTCGCGCCTGGTCCTCCGTAACTGTTGGTCCAGGATTCACCTCGACGTTCCCACGAAGCAGGAGCATTTCTGCCACAGCAGCACTCGAAGTTGTTTTAGCGACGATTGGCAAGTAAGTTTAAATTCTCGTTAAAAAATTGAATTCTCACTAATCTATGGATGTGGAGTGCCGCTTTTCCCAAAAGCCTGACGTAAGCAAAGCGACCGTGTGGCAGGCAGAAGATCAGTCAATCACTTTTCATTGCATCCCAACCCATAAGGACATCTTTTCATGGACTTCAGGCGCTTCCAAACAATCAAGTACTCCATTGAATGGGATGGGGCCCAATGACTTACTACGAAAGTCAGAGCCCACATTCTTACGGTCAAGGGTCTGTCGAGCTCACCGATGAGCGCTCTGCTCAAAACTTGCTTGATGCTGATTTGAATTCCAGCCATGGACTGGCCATGGCAAATCTGATCGTCGCCAAAGCACTCCCGCAAGGGTGCACAACCAGCCCAGCCTGCAACAGAGATACGAGCGTCACCAGTTGCCATTTTACCCGGTTTCAATGGCCCTCTTTATCTGTCTAAGAACCGCCAGTATTGAGACTGCGAGTTTCAAAACTCATTCTGAATCTTTTGCGGCTTGCCGCACTTGCATGACTGGAATGCTTTTCATCACAAGACCGTACGAACCATTTGAGCAACCCCACAGAAAGTAAAGGCTACAGTCCATATTAAACGGACAGGTATCATACTCAAACGTCCTGGGGTGCTCACAAAGAATGCTCCGAGCTGGCGCCAGCGCGTCTTTTATAAGAAGCGCATACAGCTCTTGAGCCTCTTGAAGGTGCTTCTCTTCTTCTTGGTCCGTCGCTTCGAGCGCCTCCTTCAGTTGACACCTTCGCTGTTCCCGGCGCCTGAGCCAGTCTGTACGGTGTTCAATCCATGTCAAAAATTTGTCGATAGCTCAGAGCTTTAAGGGGCTACGAAATCTTTGAATTCGTGACATCATGGCAGCTCACAAGAAGGTGGACCTCGAATGAAGGTTCAGAGGACCTGGCAGGTTACAAAATGTTGACTTCAGGAAGGACAACCCATTCCAGTTTTACTGTACATACCAAGAATTTTCTGTCGTTCACACGTGACTGTTGCTCTTTGACAAAAGGCCTTTTTGCCTTCTTAGAATACAGATGAAGGTAGTACTGATGACCAGATGACCGAGCAGAATAAGAAGCCCCAAAGGTTTAGCTATGAGAGAAGAGAAGGAGAAGGCACCGGAAGCCTTTCAGGTCAAGCTACCGAAAAGTTGGATCAGGTCAACACTACATAGCAAGGGCAGCCAAGAAGAATGATAAGTGTCATTACCTTCCCAGCTCTTGTGGACAGAGAAGTATCCAACGGACGCCGCACTCAGTGCTCTGGCGGGCAGTTGATCCTGGTGTGCCTTGCAGCACCATTCGATAGTCCCCCCCTTCTTGCCGCCGCGGCGCCCGCAAACTGCTGCAAGCTCGCAACTGTCACACTGAACGCCTAGGAAATCTGCATGTGGATGACATAAGTAACGTGTCAGATTAGGCAACAGCTGCTGAAATCAGCCCCGTGCAAGTTCACGGAGACGAATAATTATTACTGACTGTCAACAGCTTTTTGAGTCACTGCTAGCATGCCTTAGTTTATACGGCTCTCTTGTCCTCCTCGTCGAGCAAAAACAAAGCCATGTTTCGCTTCCGACATGCCTATCACAGCATACATCTGCGGGCCTGCCCGATCGCTGAATCTTGTTTTGCCCAATTTCCTAGACACTTGAGGTCAAGCTTGCCCATTCCCAGGAGGTAGAGCCGTGAGAGCAGAGAGCAGCCTCGCGGTTGAAAGGTGATTGCAGGGGATGACAAGTTCACAGTGCTGGGGTTTTAATTTGTTGGTTGCCTTTTGCGGCAGCCGACGCCATACAGTACGGTTATCAGCATGTTCTCTTTCTAGATCAGATCAAGGGACCTGACTGATTACAGAATGGCATTAAATACACATCGTTTTGATTGACAGAAACGTTTTAAGCGGCTTCAAATCCCGAAGATGCAGCTTATTGTCTCCTCCAATACTAGGCTGTGACGATGATATGAGTATGAGATTGCAAGAGCACTAAAGCACAGGAGACTGGCAGCTTTACAGTAGAATGATGAGAAATGACAGGTCTGTTGGGTTCACCTTTCCCATGTCCTGTGGGTAAGAGGTCCTTGAGGTCCAGCAGGGAACATGCAGGTTTTGCAAACTGCCCCTCAGTTCCAACTGTACAGCGGTGGGTCTCTTGACCAAGCTGGGGCGAACATCCATGGATTGTGGGCTCTGAGCAACTCCTGGCCTGTCCATCTGCTCGATTCAATCTTGATGGAGAAGCATGTGTTTCTGCTTTCAGCAATGAGCCCCTCCTCACAAGTGGAACTGTTGTTGCTCCAAGTCCACGTGGAGGCTGACTTGCCAGATATTCCATACTGTGATGCTTCCAAAAAGGGTGCAAGATTTAGGGGGAGCACTTTCATGCAGCTTTAAACTCCTATGTACCTATATGAGACAGAGGACCCTACGTTCCAGTGTCTGAACCTGCAGTACGCCGAGAAACTCCCCAGCTCAGAGACCCCTAGCCAGGCCGTATTTCCCGTGTCTTCTCAGCCCCTGACGGCGTTTTTTGCAGCTCAGTTGGGTTCCTAGGCACCTAAGGAATAATGACGTCCATACTTTGTACCTCTTGCTGAGCTCCCTGAGCAGTTGCCAGCTCTTCAACTTTCTGCGCTACATTCAAATTGAAGCTTAGCCTACAGTAATAGCAAAAGGTATTGGCCCCAGTTCAACCGTTTTTGAATTCGAAATTCTGAAAGGACACAGATCGTTCGATTCGAAAGTGCTGGCCGTACGATCAGATACTTGCGAATGCAAACCCGGTGTACTGCACCTCCAACACCGCAGTCAAGACCTGCCCGGGCGGTATGCACCCAGGCGTACGGGTGTTTTGTACTATATCTAGGCCGATTTTCTAGTGCCTCTTTCGCACACTTCGCATGATTTGTTTTTTTTTT